GGGGGGGGGGGGGGTCTAAACTAAGTCCTTCTTTCTTTAAGTAGAACTCCAAAAATCACAGTGACTCTGTAAAAATACCCCCCACACCTTTCTTTTCTGCACATGTATGCCAGGCCTTATCAGTGGTGTGCATTCATGTCTCCTGATGGGCCCAATCTGAAGTCCTCCACCCATGTGGTCCCAAAGGGGGCAGGTGCTGTTAGGAACTATACCACCTTCAGAAGCACATCAGACACCCTGTCCAGAATCTCAGCCCAATGACTACAGCCCCACTGTTGCCAAGTTCCCTCCTGAAACTAGCCAGGGTTCCCCTCAGAAGCTTTGATTCATCCCCTAACACTATAGGCAGAGATGGTCACTCACTCTTCTGTCCAATCTGGGCATCCCACCTTAATCACACCATCTTGCAATTTTTCTATTTATATGACTCTCTCTACTAGAATTCCAGCTTCTTGTAAGAAATGCACCTCAGCCGAGGCGGGCGTGGCTCAGCGGTTGAGCATCGACCTAGGATCCAGGCGATCAGGGTTCGATTCCCAGTCAGGGCACATGCCCGGGTTGCGGGCTGCAGCCAATCAATGACTCTCTCATCACTGATGTTTCTATCTCTCTCTCCCTCTCCCTTCCACTCTCTGAAATCAATAAAGATATATTTTAAAAAAAAGAAAAGAAAAAGAAATGCACCTCAGTGGTTTTGCTCCTCCTAGTGATTAGAATAAAACAGTCCTCTGTGGTAGATCTGACCACTGTTCTCAAGTATTTGCTTCTCTCTAAAAGGATTGTACTTCCCTGCCCGTGACATCAGGTCTTGCCTTGGACAATGAAATGTGAGGGGCATGCCGCTCCTAAGCATTGCATGATTCTACCATCTCTCATGTTCTGAGAGCAGCATGTTCCCAAGAAGCTTTCATTCTATCGTAAAAGGTCATTGTGCTGAGCTCAAGCTGACCTACAAAAGAGGAAGGATGAGGCTGGGTTTAAGGTTAGATTGTTTGGGGGTCACTAAGATTTGGGAGTCATCTGTTACTGCAATACAACTTAGCCTAAGCTGATAGCTACAGCCCTCTTCCTCCCACTAATGCTCATATTTATAGCTAACATTCATGAAACAGCTACCCTACTAAGCACAGAGTTCTACACATCTTCACAACACAGCCAAGAAGTAGACACTGCTATCCTTGCCATCTCACAGGGAGGAAACTAAGGCAGGAGAGGTCTGTTAACTTGTCCTAAGATCACAGAGCTACCAAGTGTCAAAACCAAGACAATTAAGAGTTGTATATGTCCTTAGGAAGGGAGCCTTGGAGCTAGAGAAGCACTTTGTGCTTTCAAAAAAACCCCTCATCTCCCTTTTTTTCCTTCAGTCTTAGGAGTTGGGGAAGGTAACAATAGGTGGGCTGCTTCGAACTGCTTCTAGAGCTGCATTTCTGGTTTTGCAAAGATTTGTAAGATACGGACAATTGCTCTCAATTTCTCGAATGATATCGTAAGTTGACTTATCTATGTCCAACCACAGCATCCCTAATTTGTTTCTTTCCCTTTGGGTAAACAATTGTATTACAACTTAGGAGAGGAGGCTTTACTCAGCCCCACCGAAACAAACCAACCCAAAAAACCCAATACTTGATATTCACGATCAATCCAAGGTCCCCACAACCATTCCAACACGCAGGACCCAGGTAGGGGTTCCCCTGCTAGAAAGACGGATCCGCGCCCCAGCCCCACCACAGGGGATACCCGTCCATCTGGCCCTGGCTGAACTCGAGCCCGCAGCCCAAATAAACCCGGGGGATGCCCGCCCGCAGCCGCCTCCCTACTCGTCAACTGCATGGCCCACAATAATGCCACCTTCTTCAGAAGAGAAATCAAGGAGTCCCAGGTCACTCGCCTCAGCCGGAGAAGAAAGGCCCGCGTGCCGCCCGGCAGCGCGGGGGTTCCCCGCTGGCACAGTCTCGCTCCGTCTCCCCGCCCCCAAACGCGCGCCTTGGGCCACGCCCTCCTCTCCCCCAAAGAAACTTCCCGAACTCGTGGCCCCTCCGCTGCAATCCTCCCCCAGTCCCGCTCTACCCAGGTCCCCAATCCTACGCCGGGCCGCCCGCCCCTCCTTCCAGCACGGTCAAGGACTTCCGCGGCCCTGCTCACCTGCGCCAGCAGTTCGGGCCCGCCCAGCCCGCCACTGGTCAGCTACGCCTGGACTACAGTTCCCAGAATCCCTGTGGGCTCCGCCTCCCATTGGACGCCGGGGAGCAGCTCCTGGGACACCAGGTTAATTTATCTGGATAATGCCTATTGCAGTGCCAGGCTACCTGTCTCTTTTTTTAAGATACCCACGCATAAAACCGTGGAACAACAAATCAGTTTCTCTCTGGTCCTTCCTCTCTGTCTAAAATTAATTTTTAAGATAAAAAAGACAGGCGGTGATACGAGGGTGCTGAATGTTCCTTCCGCTCATTCGCGGGAAAGACTACACTTCCCAGAAATCTCTGCGGCAGCTTCTGCGGAAGGTTTCTGCACCCCGCCCTCCTGGGGGTGGGGAGTGTCTGCCGAGAAGGCATTTCCGGTTGGCTCCCTTGGCTGGCAACAGTGTGCAGGCTGCGAGGCTTTTCTGTGCTTAGGCTTGTATTTTTCCCCTCCCAGACCGAGGTAAATTACCTGGGCTTACGCTGTGTGGCATGCACACTACCTTCCATGAGCGCCATCTAAGTGTGGCTTCTTGCCACCCGCGCATCCCTGTGGGCATCCCCACTTTCCTGGCAGGAGAAACAGAGAAGCAAAGCACTCTCCCACTTTGGAAGCTGCCTAGTGGATTTCCTCTAGTCCAGGTCCTCAAAATTAGCGGCAAATTCCCATCCAGTTTCTGGAGGACAGAAGCCTCACACAGGCCGAAGCTTGGTTCTCTGGCCTGTTATCTAGGATCTGGATGTTAAAAATAAATTCATGCCCCACCGTGTGGCTCAGCGGTTGGGGATTGATCTATGATCCAGGAGATGGCGGTTGGGTTCCCCGTCAGGGCCCATGCCGGGTTGGGCTCAATCACCAGTAGGGGGCATGCAGGAGGCAGCCAATCAATGACTCTCATCATTGATGTTTCTCTCTCTCCCTCTCCCTCCCTCTCTCTGAAATCAATAGACATAGTAAAAAATAAATAAAAACGATTCAGCTGAGTACCTTTGCAGTTATAATTGACTTTATTCAACTATTGGAGTAGCACCCCGTCTAGCAGATACAAAAGAGCTCTGAGGGGCTGTGCAAAACAGTAACTTTTATAGGCAGAAAGGGGTGGGAGGGGAGGAGGAAGCTACTGGCAAAGGGGATTTTCAGGCAAGGTCACCTTCCCCTAGGGGTCTATGGGAAAACTACCTCACTAGTGCTGCCCAGGTAATTCCAGACGGTTTAAGATTTCATTTCTGGGAGAGGTTGAAACTAAGGTATTAGGTTTCCATTTGGTCCCATGTTCTATATATAGCAGGAGATTTTATTTTATTTTTAAATATGTTTTTATTTATTTCAGAGAGAAAGGGAGAGGGGGAGAGAAATCAAAACATCAACAAAACATCAAAGATAAGTCATTGATAGGCTGCCTTCTGCATGCCCCCCTCGGGGGATCAAGCCCAAAACCCAGGCATGAGCCCTGATGGGGAATCCAATCATGATGTCCTGGTTCATAGGTCCACACACAACCACTGAGCAACACCGGCCTGGAGGAGATTTTATTTTTCATTTTCTCCAAAAACATCTCTCATTTCTCTTCATCTTTCTTGTATCAGCCTTCTGAGACATCTCTGTTATTCAGGAGACAGAGAAATGGCCACAAGGCCACTGCGAGCCAGGAGAAAGAACATTTTTCTGAAATTCTGTCCTGGCTGTTGCAGGGGGTATATGGGAAATCTCTATAATTTCTGCTCAATTTTGCTGTGAACCTAAAGCTGCTCTTTAAAAATAAAGTCTATTTAAGAAATGAAATGGTAGGAAAGCTTAGCAGTTTTAACTTGCCCTTTCCCCCTTCCACTCCCTGGTTCAGTGGTGGTCTTGAAGATGGTAGTCCACAATCACAGTGTGGAACCCTGGTCCCTGCCTCCAAGTAAAGAACTCATTCTGAAAGAATTCTAATTTTAAAAAAGAATTCTCTAAGAATTCTGTTCTAACCTGTCTGGAGACTGCTTGAAGGACTGATAGAAGGCGCCTGCCTCTTTTTTAGCCTAATGAACTCATTCAGAACAGAAAAAGAGTTATGAAGAGAGCAGTCCCCCAAAACACTGGAAGGCAAATGGACAACTAGCTGCCACCTGGAGTAAAAGATTACAGATGAGGCAAACAACAGAATGCCAAAAGCTTGGAGGAAAAGCTGAGGAGAGAATTTCTTTGGGAAATTAGGGCATTAAAAAGCTCCTGCCTGGCCAGTGTAGCTCAGTTGGTTGAGCATCGTCACATGCGCCAAAAGGTTGCAGGTTTGATTCTCGGTCAGGGCACATGCCTGGGCTATGGGCTTGATCCCCAGTAGAGGGCTTGCAGGAGGCAGCAAATCAATGTTTCTCTCTCACATGGATGTTTCTCTCTCTCCCTTCCTCTGTCTCTAAAATCAATAAAAATACATTTATTTTTATTTTTTTAATTTATCTTTATTGTTGAGAATATTACAGGTGTCCCATTTTTCCCCCCAATTGACCCCCTCCAGTTCGCTCCCACCCCCTCCCCAGGCCTTCACCCCATTATTAACTGTGTCCATGGGTTATGCATATATGCATATAACTTCTTTGGCTAATCTCTTCCCACCCTCCATCCCTCTTCCCTCTGAAATATGATCATCTGTTGCATGCATCAATGTCTCTGGATCTATTTAGTTCGTCAGATTCTTTTGTTCATTAGCTTCTTCTTAAAGAAGACCCTTCAACTTTTCCTGTAGTGCTGGTCTGGTGGTGATGAACTCCTTTAGCTTTTCCTTATCT